TTGATTTTCAAGTAAAAGGAAATATTTTTCAGTATTTTATGGGTATATTTTTCTAGTAGTGGAAAGAGAGATGCATTGATTCTTCTTCTTTTTTTTTTTTTTTACTTTCTGTTCATTGTCCTCAGGTACAGGAATAATGTAGGCCAAGAGAACCAGCCATTTTTGTCACCAATTATTATTCAGGTCTCTGGGGATGGAAAGAAAGTACAACAGAAAACCTCAACTTTACCTAATCTGAGCCCTTGGGGCAGAGTTAGGCCTGAGTCACCTTCAGGATCTCTCACCTTCCCCAGAATGTTCTCAGAGAGTGAGTATCTTTTCTTTTGATGTCAACACTCAAGTCCAGAATCTCAAGGCTCCCATGGCTCTCCTGAGAACTGTTCCACAACAGGCTGACACTGGTCCCAATCTTAATTCCTGCACTGATGGGCCATTGGGAAAGTGATTTTAAGCAAGCCTTACTGTTCCCATTTTTGAAGTGAGTCTTATCCAAAAAAGACTTGAATTTAAATGAACACAGAAGGAAGAAGCCAGGGTCCAAGGACTGAAGATGAACACTGCCTCCAGAGAAACCTAGGATTTGAAAAAATATTCAATTAAAGTGAGGTGGCAGGTAAAGTATAGACCTTGACATAAAACCATAGGCTGACAGCAAATTGTCAGGTGTGGGAATGGACATATGTGTGAGACACTGACTTTTAACAGCCTCCACTATAGGTGAAAATGAATGCTAAAATTGTAGTAACATAAGAAAAAGGAATCACTTTTTTCTTTCTTTTTCTTTCTTCTTTGTACAAGGATTTTAACCTAGGGGCACATACCACTGAGCCTCATCCTCAGATTTTTTTTTTTAATGTAATTTTTTAACTTTTGAGACACATTGTTAATCACAATATTAGTGTATTCTTATATCAAACAAGCACTTTGGTCACAAAATAAATATCATGTTAGCAACTACTTCTCTTTTACTGATTTTGTTTTTTTTCCTTAAATTCAAGTGAAAATGGTTTATTTTCATATTTAATAACTTTTTTATAATTTTCACCATTATTTTATTTTATTTTTTTATTTTTATGTGGTTTTGATGATATAACCCAGCACCTTGTGTGCACTAGGCAAGCAATCTTCCAGTGAGCCACAAAGCCAGCCCACATTTAACCCCATTTTAATCAAATTATTTTCATTCTTTTTACCCACCCTTGCTTTTTTATTTACTCTCCAATCTATGTGACTAGAAAGGCCTGAGAAATGATACTACCTAATGTTAATTCTGGTGTTTGGGGCACTGTGTTTTGCCAAGATTCCCACCCTTTGGCAAGTTTTTCAGTATTCTACTGTATATTTTGAATTCTTTTTAGGAGCCTTTAGCATTGTTTTAGAACAATGCAAACAGTTTCCCCAAATATGGCACTATTTTTGAAAGGTTTGTGGACATTGAGTGACATGATGAGAAAAGCACCTGGCATGGTGTGGTTGTGTGATTCTGAGAAGACACAAATATCATTGTGAGGTCACAAATGGTGTTCTTACCTATAATTAACAAATGTCCTTCCATTTGTTCTTTAGCATACTTCTACTCATCCTTCAATACCTACTTTAATGTGAAGAATTCATACTCTCAGCCAATACCTATACCCAGCCAACCAGACCCCTTCTCTGAAGACTTAAGAATCTGAGCAGGAACAAAGCAACAGCAGAAAGGCTTCCAGTGTGCTCATATAGCGTTGGGGTCCAGGAAAGACTATAAAGGGGTTTTGGGCACTGAGATCACCTGGCAAAACCCAGCTCCTCGTTTTATTGAATTTTGTCATTAGGTTCCCTTGACCACCCCAGGGTCATCTGTAGGATTTTTTTTTAAAGCACCCAGTTTAGTTTCTTCAGCTTGAAACCCAAGTCCCCAACTGCTGTCCTATCTCTATAGCATTGAGTCAGGCTGTCAGAATAAACAATAGTTTTACATAAGTCATTATAAAGAGGCTTTTCTTCTGAGACTCAACCTTGAGAAAGATGGCCATGGTCAGACACTTATGCTCCCTCATTCTGAGATGCCCCAGCTGGCTGGAGAAGAGATCAAAGATGACTCTTGTTTGCCAAGTAGCTGTGCCCATCCTGTGCTGAAAGGGTAAGACAAGGTGCTTAAGGCAACAGAGCTAAAGAAAAGCAGAAGGCCATATTCTTTGCAAACATGCTTTTTAAAATTCTGGCTGAGCTCTTTCACATATAGGTCATGGACCTTGCTAATTGCTTGCAAGAGCCTCTTCTGCATCCATAATACACAGATAGTGTTGAAAACGTGCTCACCTTTATGCAAATAAAGTATTATCATCAGCTGAATTTTGTAAATGGAGATACTCTGACTTAGGTTAGCAGAGTTGTTCAAGATCAAACATTAAAGATGTGGGGGTGCAAAAGTGACCAGGGCCCAAAAGTAATTGTCCCTTAGACTCAGTTGATGTCACAACCATGGGCATCTCTGCAAGATTCCTTTTTTTTCATTTCAGATAGAGTTTTCAAGGAGCAGTAGAGAGTCCAGGTGGCACAGGGAGGCTGCCGTAGGAGTGAACTTGATGGAAAAGCATGGATAATGAAGAAGAGCAGAGCCATTTTGTATGTTAGTTGATGTTGGTGGATAAGCCAGACTGCAAATATTCCAGAGCTAGAGGGAAAATCCTGCAATCCAAGAGTGTTAAATATGTCAGTGGAGGCTGAGCCACGTGGACAGAATGCAGAGGATCAAGTGGATGGAGTGGGCGTGGCTCTGCATAAGAGGGCAGGTAAGAGGCAAGATGTTGGGTGCAGCCCATTGAAATAAAGTGGAGAGGACCTAGTGGAGCTTGAATGTTGGGCAGAGCTGTTGAGGCAGAGTCAGGCTGAATGAGGGGAGCCCAACCCATAAGAAAAGTGGGTGGGTAGGAGACAGTCGAAGCAGGTGGGATGCAGCACCCCATCCAGCACTCCTTAAGTGAGCACAGCCTAGGAACCTGGAGGCACAGTGGTGCAGGTGCAGAGGGCATGGTGGGTGTGTCCACAGGAGGCAAATGGAGTCAGGTGAGGCATCTGGAAATTCTGTCAGGAGACACTGTGGACCCAGTGGGGAAGCAG